GCGGCCCGGCACCCCCTCCGTACCAGGCGGTGGGAGTTGCCTTGTTACCGGGCTCAGGAAAGTTACTGCTGGTGACAACGAATAGCACAGTAATGACGAGGGACAAGTTTTACAGCTCTGCTGCGTTTCCTTGTTGTAGGAGTGGGACAGTTTGTATTAGTAGCAAAAACAGAGGAGTATGTTAAAACTGGAGAAAGGGAAGGCTCAGATAGTGCTTTTAAGAGGCAAAAAAGGTCTTGTTTTCAGAGAAACCATGTTTGGTATCAGTCAGATACCAGCTTTTAACTTTCATTATGATTTTCAATTAGCGTTATGGATGTGGTTTTATAGTCTGAATAAGGGTGTTCTGGGATGGGTTGGGTAATGATTGAAGGCCTGTTTGAGTGTTAATATGTTTTTCCTAAACAGATAGCATTTTAAAGGATTAAACTGCTGTTGTATCAATGTATTTAAGATGCCCTGCTCAAGTCATACCAAACCTGGATTTTTTACCCTTGTAGTTTCAGAGCAGTTTTCAAAGCTTAGGTCTTTGCTTATGATTTGTACGATTTCACAACCGAGTCTTATACTGTCTGCATAGCAAGGCGGCAGCAGTGTATGCTGGCTTTTCAGCTGTTCTGCTAAAGCTGGGCTGCTTACTGGAATTCGTGCTAGCTTTAAACGTCTGCTGAACAATTTGGCCCACCGAGGAGTCAGTATATCTCTGCTGTAACAAGGGAGTTGTATCCATGGTGCTTTCTGAAAGAGGCTGTTAGAGCTCTTAAGATAAACAGAATGCACAACTCAACCTTCCTTAAGTATGCTAATGTCATTCTCTAGGTAGTCTTTCTGAAGACGGGATGATGGTAGCTTGTATGGAATTCTTGCTCTGTAAAACAGAAAAGAAAATGTCTAGATAGTTATCTGTGGTACTAAGCTTCAACAGTAGCACACTAGAGCACAAGCCATATGCGGAGCGACTGAGGGAACTGGGGTTGTTTAGTCTGGAGAAGAGAAGGACCTTATCGCTCTCTACAAATATGTGGAAGGTCAGTCTCTTCTCCCAAGTAACAGGAGATAGGACAAGAGGTAACAGCCTCAAGCTGTGCCATGGGAGGTTTAGATTGGATATTAGGGAAAATTTCTTCACCAAAAAGGTGGTCAGGCATTGGAACAGGCTGTCCAGGAAAGTGGTGGAATCTCTGTCCCTGGAAGTGTTCAAAAACTCTGTAGATGAGGCCCTGAGTGATACTATTTAGTGATGGACTAGACAGTCTTGGGGTAATGGTTGGATTTGATGATCTTAAAGGTCTTTTCCAACCCAGTTGATTTTATGAGTCTATATAACTCCACTCTTCCTTTTCTCTGCCAGACCACTTGAATGTACAGACTGACAGAAACTAGCATCTAGATTAGGATTTTTGTTTGCTGTCACAGAAAAAAATACCCAGAGTAAAAGGCAATTCCTATGTAAAACACATAATGATATTTTAATCATATTATAATCGTGCTTCTTAAAAGTTTGTCTGTTTTCCATATATATGTTGCATATAAAAGCTGTAGTTTTCACCTCTTTAGAATGTTGCCTGTGCAATGCCCCGCTCTCTTCTTATCTGAAAGTGGTGCCTGTGTGGCTGATGTGGTGTTTGAGCATGTTGAGAGCAGTTTGGTTATTGAATTTGACTGTAGTGAAGATCATTATGCACGACAGAAGACTAGTTATTGAAAGTGATTCAAGGTTCTTCTCAATCCTGCCTCTTGTTTCTTCTCTTCATCCACTTTCTGAAACAGTTATGTTTCTCTTGTGTCTGGATGTTAAATACAAGTCCAACAACGTGCCTTTCAAAATTACATAAAGATAAGTCAGTAGTAAATCGTTAAAAGTTAGCAGTGCCTTTTTAAAGTTGTAACGACAGAAGGATTTTTATGTATAGTCTTATTGGTGGATTAAAAAATAGATTTGTTGCAAATTGCTCTTGTGCATGTTGGGTGGGTTTTAGTAACAAACGCCCCCCTTGCTTCATACCTTTAACAGTGTTTCTGCTCTATCTGTTGCTTGTGTACATCTGTTCAGCTGACTTGCTTCACTGGGAAAATAATAATCATGGATTGCAAATGCAGGCAAACCTGTAACCAGTCAAGATGCTCTTAGCCTATTGATGTGCAGTAGGTTCCAGTGCTTCCCACCTCAGCTTGTTTCCAGAGTTCATTACTCTTGGCTACACCTTGAGCAGTGATAGCATTGCTTCAGCTGTCACCAGGTATGTACTAACTCTGGCTTTTGTAGATTCCAGAATTTGACAACTTATACCTGGACATGAATGGCATTATTCATCAGTGTTCGCATCCAAATGATGATGATGTTCACTTCAGAATCTCGGAAGATAAGATTTTTGCTGATATTTTTCACTATTTGGAAGTACTGTTTCGCATCATTAAACCAAGGAAGGTTTTCTTCATGGCAGTTGATGGAGTAGCTCCAAGAGCAAAAATGAATCAGCAGCGTGGGAGACGTTTTAGGTGAGCATATTTGCTCTGACTCTGACTTTAAGAGAGTAAATGCTTTAAAAAAATTTACTTAACTGTGTGCCATGAAAAGTAAAGTATGAGAGTATGAGTGCTTGTGCCTTTGATGGTAGCTTTAATTTTTAGTTAAATGAGGGTAACTACCTGTAAAATTTTAATACTTTAGAATCAGGATTCCAAAAACGAAAGCTTGCTTGTTACTTAAATTTTTCTCTGTGTATGTTGGACTGGAGGAGCTTTTGTCTCATGAAATTTTCTGTGAAATAAATCTCCAATGGTTTCATAACCTGTGAGAGTCTTTGGTATCTGTGAATGCTAATTCTAGACATGCCTTTTTGGTAACTATAATATGCCGTGTTCTTTGACAGTCATAGAAGAAATTAAGTTTCTAGTAAAACTCTGGTTTCCTGTCGATACCAGTTAGCAAGCTAGCTCACATGCAGAGCTTGCAAGTAGATTGCACCTTGTTCAGGATTATATTAATATTTTGGGAGATGTGAAAGCTTCTTTGAAGACTGCTATAAGGAAAGCATGCCAGTGGTTAGACAGTATAGAGATGGTAAGTGAAAAGTGACAGAAGCAAACTGAGGGGAAAGGACAAGAGAAAGTATTTTCAAACTACTGAGTTTTTTGTGGGGTTTGGTTTTGGGTTTTTTAAAGTAAAAAGGAAGTTGAGAGGAAGAAGAGGTTAAGAAAGAGTTCTAAGTAGAAAACTAGAGTGGAAGTGAGGTAAGGACAAATCTAAGATATTGGTGGTTTCTCTTTTTCTGATTCAAAAGTGTTTATGAAATCCTTGGCCAAGAAAGGCTAGGGTATTTGTTTGCTTATTTCTCCAGTACTAGTGATGATAACTTGTTAATTCACCCCTTCTCCTCTTTTGGTATTCCAAACTTGTTGCTTTGTTTGATAATATTCTTAACTATAGTATTAACTATACAACTCTTGTTCTGTGAGTGTTTTCAGATGCTTAGATCCTGAGTACTCCTACTGTTTCAACATTAATTTGCTTTCATTGTGCTCAGCTGTTGAATGATCATTTTGGAAATGTAAATATTAACTGTATCTGAGTAATGACAGATTATCATCATTACTAGGGAAAAAAAGCTGTGTTTAAGCCTTCCAGTTGTGTGGGAAACAAGGTGAAAATATCCAGGAGTTGAATTTCTCCCTCTTCTTTTCCTAACCACTCCTTAAAAAATCAACTGTATGTATTTTGTCAGTAAAGCTGTACTTCGGATATTAATGTTTGGGTAAGATGATTCTTTCTCTACTCCGCTCTTC